GCGAGGCGGCTGGAAGGAAATCCTTCCAGCCGTTGAGGTACATGTACCTCGTCGGCTAGAAGGGGAGACTTCCCGGTGGGCCGTGAGACATCAGCGGAAAGGGCACATCTGCACCTGAACCCGCATCTCGCTGGCGGGTATCCGCTACAGACGGCGGGTATCCGCCAGCGGATAACGGATATCCGCAACGGATATCCAGAGACCAGCTCTAGATGTTAGCACTTCGAAGGACCTTACACCAGTAGTGATTATGTTGCCAGTAGCCCCGGGAGATCAGAGTGTATGTGGCGCCTCCAACGTTAATCTTGAACGGCCAATCGATTGATCCCATAAAGTTATTTTTCTGTTTCTCATCGGTTATGCCGGTGACATCTACATAGAAATTAAGATGAAGCGGGGCTCCATTTGCTGGGACGGCCAATCTTGATCGATCAATTATGTGGTGTGATGTGTTTTCAGAGGATCCAAGCAGCTTGACGATGTCAACATCGGAAGACACTTTTTGAATTTTGGCATTCTTCGGGAGCTTCGGTTTTGGTTTGTTTGGATTGCAGTGTTTGCAGATCATACCTGAAGTTGCCAGCAATCCGTCGGTTTGCCACATCTCGATTAGCTTTGATACATCAGAGTGAGGAATCCGATTCTCATCAAACATCTGCGGCTTGATTGTCAAGACATGAAGGGTGTGGTGATCTCGAGTGGGGTGCTTCTGCAATTTATTCGGCTGGAGTTCGCAGGTGAAAGTTCGATGTTCATCAATCGAGAAGAGCTGCTTATACTCATCCTTCTTGTGCAGTTGGGGATCCAACGCGACCTCAAGGAAGTAATCGCAAGAAGCAAACGCGCCGGGAAGGAATCGTCCTGGATATTTAGGACTGAGAACATCGAATACCATGTTTTGTCCACGCGTCAAAGTTGAACGAATTGCGTTACTGCCATTTAGTTCGCCAGTTGATCGACATGAGAAGTGATGAGCAATTGCGGTGAAGACGTCCTTCCCATGACCGCTGATTCCACGGAGCCATAATGGGCTGAAAAGAGCATAAAGAGATTCAAGACCTGCGGCGAGCCAACAGCGGTTTCTTCGAGTTGGGTTGTCCTTATTCGCGTGGTAAGATGGATAAGCTTACCAGAGGCTTTTGTTGAAGTTTGTTGAATTGGGGGGCCTGCCAAGCTTCGCTTTTTTCTTCTTCTTTCCATCAACAAGCTCGTCTGTTGTGTCCGGGGGCCTTCCATCATTGATGAACTTCCCTTCGCCACGTTTGCGTTTCTTCGCGATACCAAGGGTGGTGCCAATGTCCGTGGTGGGGTTGGCCCCATAGGAAATCGGGATCCCCTTCATCGCAGCTTTCCAATCTTCTTCCAACATTTTCACAAAGGAGAACAGGTCAACCATTCCAACCATGATGCACTGTTTTCCGTCACTACATTACAACCAATAAATGAGCGTCTTTCTTCATTGGGAAGCCTGCAAATAGTTCACAGGGGTATTTAAGCTTACCTCAGCCTGTAGTAGATCCGGTGCATACTCTCCTGGGCATTGGTAGTATCGGGAAGACCGTCAGGAGTATCCTCGAGTCGGGGTTGTCGCGATGGAAAGAGGAGGGCCTCAATGTCAGAAACCGTCCACCAATCAAGCCACTTGCGAACTTTGGGATAACGTCGCCTAATGAAGTCCACCTTCTCTTCATGAGTCTTCCCGCCGGCTTCTTGGTGTTCCAAGAGATCCATGCATGCTTTTCGGAAAGGCTCCTGGGGGTATGTTACATTGAAATCAGTCAAATTATTAGGAGATACATCTCACCAGAGCAAAAATTACTCACCTCCTCGTCAGCAGTCATGAGAGCCCGATTACGCTTGATTCGTGTGACAGACTGGCGGAAATGCTCCCGACACCCTTTCAGCATGCACCTCACCTCTTTTCGAGTTCCCTGACGAAAGACTGCCAGATACGCTGAGACAAAACCCTCGGCTTGAGCACTGGAGAAGTCAACCACTTGGCGGACTAGCGTGTCACGTTCGGCAGGTGTTACTGGTGCGGCTTGAAACTGCCTGAAGAGTGTGGTGAAATGGAGTTTGTAGTATTCCTCACTCAACCCACGGATCCAAGTCAGTTGGATCGGTATCCATCGGTGAAGGTCTTCGCAGTACATTGAGGTTGAGAGCAAGTAGCCTGTTTCGAAGTATCGGTACGTGACATCGGATATGAGACCCCCGCTGTAGACCTGATTATTCTCATCCCTAGCAAGTAGTCGATCGGCCATCCATTGGGTTTGGAATGTGAAGTGTTCATTCTGTGGCAAGAATGAAGCAGACGTTATCAACAAGCCACGCCTGTGAGAACAAATACAGTCAACACATTGGATCAGCAATGACTCAACTCAAGAAGAGACATAACATAAGAAGAGAAATAACTCACGCAGCCCACGCAAACATGTCCAAGACAAATTTGTCTCCTATTCCTCCCCCAAGTTTGTCAGGAACCAAGTTCAATTCGACAAGCATCTTACGCCGGTAATAAGCCAATCGGTCTTTGTTGATATAAGCTGGATGGATCTCAGTTACACTATTTGCACCGGCAGCTGGATCGGTCCGCTTTCCAGTCTACATAACATAGAAATCACAGAACATGAGGAATATGATCAGGAAAGTAGGAAGTGGGACCAACTCACCTAAAGTTTAAGTGCCCCCGCACTCGGATTATTCAAAATCTCCGCTTTCAACTCATCCTTGGACATGGGGTCAGGCTTTTCAGCCTCGGGCCACGGATGCGGATGCTTGCCCTTGTGCCTGAGGAGACCCCATCCGGTAGGCAAGTGGTAATCAAATCTTACAGCCACGGAGTTTTGGCAACATTTCTTGTGGGTAACATTGCCCTTGCATTTCCCTGATTTACCGGGACATTTTGTTTTCCTGTTTGGTAGCAAAATTACATACATGGTCAGTAAAGGTCATGAAGCCATGTGGGGCAATGGTTTGTAAAAATATTTGCAAGAGTTGTAAAAAGTTTTACAACTCTTGCAAATATATTTACAAACCATCAAACAGAAGGAGAATCAATCAAGAAATAATGATAAAAGGGGCTTACCCCTCTTCAAGCTTCTGTTTACCACCTTTTCCGGTTGGGGGGGGGGCCAGCCCACTGGCAAGAAGGATTTTCACACACCAGGGCCCCCAGGCAGAAGTAACAAACAACTTTCCAATCGTTGTTGATACCTCGCTTATTGCTTGAGGATGTTTTTGAAAAACCAACGGTGCCAAAGTTCGTCACCGTCTCGCCAGGTTTGCGCACGAAGATTGTTTTTCTGTTGGGATAGATCGGGTACCCTTGCTTGTCAAGGATACACCTGTGATCGATGTAGGTCTCGAAGGTGTCCTCCAAATTTGGGAGGAACCACTCCTTTGCGTTCGCTTGCGGATCTCGCACGGCATCCGTGTCGTCCGAATCCCCGATGTTTGCTCCAGGATGGCCATCTTCGGATTGGCTATCCTCCTCTGGTTCGTGGTCCGATTGGTCGAGGTGGTCGACCTCCTCCTCGGCGACCTCCTCATCCTCGAAACCCTCGCTCTTTTCTATCGTATTGTTGACGGTTTGCTTCTTGGTCGACAATATCCACGGTAAGTTTTCTTTTGCTTTTTTTTCATCTTTTTTTTCTTTTTCGTCTTTTTTTTCTCTCGCCTCTTTCGCCGTGGCGCCAGCCGTCTTCTTTGATGGCATCGAAGTCGAGTCTTCTTTTTTTTCTTTTTCTTCTTTTTTTTGTTTTTTTTTGTTTTTCTTCTTTTTCTTCTTTTTTTGCTTTCATGTCTTTCGCCGTCGCGCTAGCGGTCTTCTGTGATCGCTTCAAATCCGAAGATCTCACTGAATTGATCTTTATCCTCATTTCGCTGTCGAAATCGGGGGGTTTCCAAATGGGGGCTGGCGGTAAAAAGCAACTCTGGCGGGGTGATGATCCAGGGACTTGGTGGATTTCGTGCCAAGGGGAGTGGAAGCGGTAGACGGAGGGTTGAACAACGGCAGAGGACGGGGATCGACGCCGGCGTCATCGTTTGATTCCCTGGCGTTGGTTGCACCCGTCGGAAGGATTGATTCGTCGCCTGTTGTCCGTGGTTCTGACATCCTGAGAACGTTTTCTCTTTCTCTGTTTAGGCTGGATGGTGTCGGCGTTTGTCAGGCGTTGAGTTCTCTGTTGTCGGTGATCGAAAAAGGATAGGAGAACTTGAGAAGGCCTGGCATATCACCCATGATATGCCGTGTTTGTCAAATGTTTGTATGAACCTTATATGAAGCTTAATGGATATGTATTGAAAGTTTAATGATAGATTGTAAACTATGTGTTGTAAAATTCTATTACAGGGTGCCAATAAGCTTTTTTACATGCGTAGTTTCACAAGACATTAAGGTTTGCAAGCGTATGTGTTGTAAAATTCTAAATTTAAGCTTTGATATACAACTTTACAACCTAGTCATGCAAGACTTGCATGATATAGTTTGTAAAATTACATAATGCCATGTTGTGATACAATTTTAACAAACATATTTTACAAACCAATTTTTTACAAACTTCGAAAATGACAGATGGGTTGTAAAATTATACATTACCCCCATAAAAACGTAATTTTACAAACTATCCGGTTTACAAGACATATGTCTTGTAAAAAATAGTTTGTAAAATTCACTTACCCCATAAAAAAGATATTGCAACACAGAAAAATAAGAAAGAATAATATAGACATTGTACAATACCTAGTGAGATATAGTGGGAGCAAAGAAGATGATGTTGGATTAAGTAATCCTGTATGTAGTACTCGTATGCCTATACTGAGTTATGCTTATATCAAGCCTACCATTACTACTGAGTTACCGGATCTCTCTTCTCTGACTCTCTCCTTACTGAATTAATATATATTATTCTCACCGTCAAAGTCCCATTGTGAGTCTCGACATCAGTCTTAGTTTCAGTCCCTGCTGTCCCTCAACAGATGAATGGCTAACAGAGAAAGAAATACCTGAAAACCAGAAATTACTTAGACAATATAGAATGGATAAGATACAAAAGTTCATCTAGTAAGGATTCACCCTTTTTTAAGGGTGGCAAATGTCAGGGGTTAAGTAATCCTAACCCCCGCACAAGAATTGAGGAAGAATAAATAAAAATTCAAAAGAAATAAAGCCCTAGTGCAAAAAGAGTGAATAAACATTACATATTGAATAATGCTGCGGCACAACTAAAACCAACGCGACGTCACGCGTCCTGATCCCCAATTGTTGAAAGAAATATATACCTTTCCAAACCATTCAACAACCCCAACAAATAAAATTACCACAAATCAGCCGGTGACCTCTAAAAGTATTTAAGAGAGTCACTGACTGTTATTCCCTTTTCCTTTTTCCTCAGACGATTACAGAAACCTGAACTGCTACTACTACTTTGACTTTAGTATCAAAGCTTACCTAGCCGACTAGACCAGCACTCGTCAACTATTAGCTTAAGCTTGTGGTTTTCACTACCTGGATAGACGGCTTCGGCCTGAAGACTATTCCTCAATCTATACCTAGCTCTCTCGAGCTCCTGAATCTGTCCTCAACTTCACGCCTCCCCTTCACGACTCCTCAACGATCCTATTACGCCTCCACGACTTACCTTACAACTAGTTCAACCACCTGTTAACTTGACTTGTTATCCCCCTAACTATCTGTGTTCCAGAGGTTAGTTGCCCCGGCTATACAGCTGCTGGAAGATCCGCGTAAGCCTCATCAAGACGTCTCTGAGCCGCGCTGAATTTGCACTAATACCCTACTCTCTCAATTCTCAGAAGCGCGTTCCTTCATCAAGTCAGACTCTAGTTACTACTTCTTGTCCCACCAGTAAGTAACCTAAGCCTGACACGCTCTATCTCAAGAATTTTCTGTATTGCAAGAAAATTGTGGGCACAGTCATTTCTCTTGGCTACTTTGCAGCATGGGACGGATTGGTTGAGTTTGACAATGTTTTTACTCTTATTGAAAACAACATCTGTTTTCCAACTACTATCCGTCAATACCGTTGTTTTCTTTCTTTATCTTCTGCGCACTCCACTATTGCTTCCTCCGAATCTTGTGTTTCTACCGCAAATGTCACTTCCATGCAATCTGATCTTTGGCATTCTTGTTTAGGCCACTTGGGCATCCGCACGCTCAACAAAACCATCTCTAAGTCTTGTGTCACTGGATTACCTGAAAGGAAACTCAAAGTTCCTCGGAACCCATGCGGTAGCTGCTCACTTGCTAAGAGCCAACATCGGCCGTTTATTTCTGATTCTAGAGGCGCGGCTAATTGTGTTGGTGATTTTGTAGCAGCAGACCTAATGGGCCCCTACCCTGACTCGCTGGATGTGTTTAAATATGTCATGGTAATCCAAGATGTGTTTTCGCGGTTAGCTTCTGTAGTTGGTCTTTCAACCAAGGCAGTGGCACCGTCCAAGTTACTCATGGGGATCTCCAAATTCAAGCTCCAGACGGAATGTAAGATCAAGACGGTGCAAACAGATAATGCTGGCAAATTCACATCCAAGGCGTTTGAGAAGTCACTCTCCGAGCGATCTATCATCCATGAGTTGGCAGTTCCCTATGAACATCACCAGAACGGACAAGTTGAGCGGACTAACCGGACCCTGATGGAAATGACTCGATCTTTTCTGGTCCACACTAAACTTCCTGTGACATTGTGGATGCATGCCATCAAACATGCGGCATGGATTTTCAACTGGCTTGTCCATGCTGATGCCATTCTGACTCCATTTCAGATTGTAATGGGACGCAGCCCCTCATTTGAAATGATTCAAACTTTTGGCTGCCGGGCTTATTTGCATGACATTGAACATGATAAGAAGATTCGTCCCAGGTCAACGGCTCTCATTCACATTGGCATCGCCAAGACATCCAACGGATGGCTCTTATGGGATCCTTGAACCAATAAAGTGGTACGGGGGGGCATTGGTAATTTTTCATGAACATGATTTGCCTTCACAGTTAAATACCTCTACCTCCCTAAATCCTCTTCTCAATTCAATTGAAGTGTCTGGGCTTGAGGCGGTAATTGACTCAATCCAACTCACAGGCCTTGGAGATTTTTCATTCTTTGAACAATTCCATCTCCAGGATGCTGCTCTCGACTCAATCTCCTCGTTGGCAAACATCATCTCCGATGCACCAAATTCTTTTCTGGAGGCAATGCCAAGCGACCTGGTGGACTGTTGGAAAGAGGTGTGTGAAGTTGAGCTGGGGAGAATGGCTGATCTACACGTCTGGGACATTGTTCAACAAACCTCGGACATGGAAATTCTTGGTTGCCGGTGGGTTTTTGCGGTCAAGCGCTCTCAAACAGGTGACATTCTTCGTTTCAAGGCACGGCTGGTGGCGCAGGGATTCAAGCAAATATTGGGGATTAATTTTGCAGAGACTTTTGCATCCCTCCGGCTCCTTTTGGTGTTGGCTTCAAAGAGGAGGTGGCCCGTGAAGTCATTCAATGTCAAGTCCGCATTCTTGCATAGTCCTATCAACTATGAAGTGTATGTTTGACCCCCGGAAGGCCTTAATGTTCCTGATGGGCACGTCCTACGACTCTGCAAAGCCCTCTATGGCACCAAGCAGGCTGGAAGATTTTGGTGGCTATACTTGAAAGAAAAACTGTCTTCTATTGGTTTTTTTCCCAACCCCAAGGATCAATCAACCTATATGCTCAGACATGGTGATGAAACGGCCTTCCTCTGGATTCACGTCGACAATGGCCTCCTGACAGCAAGTTCTCCTGCACTTATTACCAAGCTGCAAGGGGATCTCTCTGCAATCCTTGAGCTGAAATGGGATGCTGAGCTCGCCAGTATCATTGGAATCAGAATCTGAGAGACCAACGGTGGATTCTACATGGACCAACCAATGCTGATCAACAAACTCCTATTGACAGAACCCTCGTCAATCAAGAATCAAACCCCTATTGTATCCTCTGAGCTGTCATCAAATCCTGCCACCAACATGGAAAAGGAATATCTTTCCAGAATTGGTACTCTTCTCTATCTTTCCCAGGGCACGAGACCAGATATCTCTTTTGCAGTGAACTTCCTGGCCCGCTTCTTGATCAACCCGGACAATACCCACTGGAAAGCGCTTCGTCACCTCATCTCTTATATCCGCTACTCCTCTCGTTTGAGCTTGCCAATAGTTGCCGACCAAGAGGAGGACCTGTCCCGTTGTGTGACCACTTATGTAGACGCCAACTGGGGCGGTGAGGCAGGACAATCGGTTCACGGGTTTTTTACGCTTGCCTGGGGAGCGCCTATTTCTTGGTCCTTCAAGCGCCAGTCCTGCATTGCTTGGTCCACTTGCCAGGCAGAGTACATGGCACTGTCGTTTGGGGAAAAGGATGGCCAGTGGATCAGCAGCCTTGTCAATCAACTGTTCCGAATTGATCCTCCCACCCTCCTTTCCGATAATTGATCTGCCATCGCCATCAGTTCGGATTTTGCAACTCAAAAGAATCACCTGCACATTGACTGGGAATTCCACTCCATCAATGAGTTACTTTACCTCAATTGTGTCATTATCAACTGGATTGGTACCAATGAGCAATTGGCAGATGTACTCACCAAGGCACTGGGATGGAGAAAGTTGGAGGATTTTCTAATCAAGGCGGGAATGAAAGCCCAGCCTAACACCATGGCAAGTAATGGGGGGACAGTATGCGCTGGCAGCGATGTGGTGTTCTAAACGGTACAGGCCCCCTCAAGGTCCAATTTCAGAATTCAACTTTCAAATTTTCAATATCCTCAACACTCAAGATTTCAATATTGTCACCTCAAATCCCCACTCAGTCCAATGGTTTCCTCATTTTATTATTTTATTTCATTTCATCTTATTGTTTACTTTTCATGTTATTTTTTATTCATCTTGATTTTATTTTATTTATTTTTTATCATTTTATTATTCTTACTTATCTCTTTCAAATCATTTACTCAGAAGACAGTGTTGTTTCTTATTTCTTGGTCCTAAGACATAGTTTCATTTATGTTGGTTTATTCTGATCTTGTTTGTTTGTTCTATTCTGTGTTCTTCTTTTGTTCTTTTGTTGTGTTGTGTTGTCTTTGTTTTCTGGTTGAGTTGTGTGTAGTTAGGGAGTGTGATGACATGTCTGTGACATGTCACTCCCCAGAGT